ATAAAACTAAATTTATTCAGTGTAAAAGTGAATTATAGTAAGGAATGTTAACATTATATAAAATGCTAACAGGCTGCTATTACCAGACATTTAGGCTCTACAATAAAATGTCAATATTATCAGACTACAAGTCAAACAAATGTCTATATTTTTATATAAATCATATACTGTACAGTAAATACATATTTTATGTTATGATTGCATAATTGTAGTAGTGAGTACTTTCATACTATTTTATAAAATTTACTAATGGGTTTATAATACAGTAACTAAAACTTTCAAAAACATTTTGTATTTAATGTCAAATTATTTGTTGAAACCGTAATATTTTTATTATTTGTAATTATTAACCCATTCATATAGATTCAAAAATTTACTTTCAATTTCAGTAAATAAAATCAGTGTACATTTACTGATACAAAATATAATACTGGTGTATGTTTAGCAAAATTAAAAATTATATGATAGCTACTATATATTTTATAAAGCGAAATATAATTACATCTCAATCTCTCATTCATTCAATTAATTCATAGAGAAATTCAATGCGAAATTTAATGGCATATGATTGATTAAAATTAAAAATTATATGATAGCTACTATATATTTTATAAAGCGAAATATAATTACATCTCAATCTCTCATTCATTCAATTAATTCATAGAGAAATTCAATGCGAAATTTAATGGCATATGATTGATAGGCTTAAAATAATATTTATATAAATTTTTGTACATATAGTGGTTATATATCAGAGTGAAAAAGTAAATTATATTTCAAAATCATTACAAAATATGCTATTATAACAAATGTGGAAATAATTTTCCGAGAAATAACACACACATCTACTGTAATAATAAAAGTATATGAAAAAACATTAGCAATTTTTTCTTACATTATATATTTTTCTAGGAATTGAGTTATCATTTTGTGTGTATAAAGAAATAGAGAAAATAATATTTAGAAATAATTTTTATAGAGATATTAAATTTGAAATATTTTCAATATTTGCTTCGCATAAAAAGCACATGAAATTCACACAATTTTTTATCTTACATTTCATACGATATGAACGA